AGGTGCCTGGTAAATCCCATTTTAACAGTTATAACTCAATAATGTCTTTGGAAAATATTATTATAAAATATACGTCAGTGATGGGCTTATATGGTATAATATACAGCCAGATCACCAGCTTCTTCAAGTAGCATGTGCTAATGACAGATAAAGATACCTGTTGAACAAAAACAAAACAAAAAAAAAAAATCTGCCCTGTTTGTCTGCAGCTCTCTGAAAGGTAATTCCACACATAGTGAGGCAATTTCCATTCAAAGTCATATTTCTAAACCTTAAATAAATTGCTATTGTAATTACTTAGTTAAACATGTTGAATCTTTGGAGTTAATGGAGCAGAGTGTGCAAAATCCTTGCTGAATTAAAACAAGGAGTTGAGATAAATGGCTGAATTCAGCAGCAACAGTGCCCTCTGAACATGACAAACTGCATCCATTATCAATGCATGCATTCATAATACATTAAAACTTCGGTATAAACAAGTGTATTATGACAGATAGTGTCTGCAGTTTTCTTTCATAATTCAGCTCCAATTGATCTCTGCAGTCCAGCAGAATGAGCCCTTTGTGTTTTTATATAAAGACCTACAGGGCTCGTGCATTAGATTAAATACAGTCCTATGTATATCAATTCTTGGGATAGCAACAGGGGAGAGTGAAGGAACCGGTTTTCCTCAAAGACGCCTTCATTAAGTGTATAAAAAACATTTGTATTTCAGTTCTCACAAGAAGTGAAATCCTGCTCACCATGAATATTACCACATCTAAAAATGCTATTTTTAACCAGGGGTCTGGATGGGACCAAAAGCTATAGGCATGAGAGAAGAGATGGGGAGTCACAGGAGCAATTGCCTCTGCATGCCTGGATGTGGGTAATGTGACTCTTCTAGTAGCACACAAAAAGGAATTTATTAAACGGGACAATTGTAGCAAAGACCACAGGAACATCTTTAGTTTCAAACACATGCTGTTCTCTGCAGTATGCAAATATACATCTTGCACAGCCACACAACTTTTAAAGGTGGTGAACCCACAACATATACTCAATGCACACTTTATTAGGTACACTTGTTCAACTGCTCATTAATGCAAATAATCATCGAATGCATCTAAACAGCAGTAATCAAATATATTTTTGCATGTATATTTTGCGGGTATAGGAAGAATGAGGAAGAAAAGGTGTTTTTTTTTTTCTTTTCTTTTTTTTTTCTTTTTCTTCTTTCTTCTTTGCATAGTGTCGATCAGGTGATCTTTTTTTTTTTTTTTTTTTTTTTTTTTTTTGGCCTGTCCCGTTTGGCTCTTTTGCCATCAGAATTGTTGTCTAAAGGCAAAGAAAGATGCCCAACGGATTTACTTTACCAAACTGACCATCCCAGCCTTGCCGTAATGGTCCATTTGATTCACCTTTTATTGTTTCTTTTATTTTCACTTACTGAATATGGGACAGACTTGACTGGGGGAAAGAAGGGGAGAAAGAAAGAGGGAAAGAGAAACAGCTGAGAAGAGGGACGGGGGAGAAGGGAAAAAGACAAAAACCAACAGAACGGACAGAAAAAAAAAATGCATATATCAATCACCTGGATCACCTGCTGAGAAAGAAAAAAGAAAGCAAGCAGAAGAGAACAAGAGTAATAGAATAAACAACATCACAATGATATATGGGAATATGACAGTAAATACTAAATGTTAAACATTATTGTGCAGCACATAAGATCAACAGAACACAGTGTGCTTTGAGGTAGGAGCCAAAAAGGGTGTAGTTTGTGGGTGTGATCACCCGTGTGTACACCTGTGAGCATGGATGCGCTTGTTTTTTGAGGGAAGGAAGGGAGGGGCAAGTGACCCCTCCCTGGGGCCAGCTCCCCCGCTGACCCCAGTAGGCACCCCCATACTCCGCGACCCGCCAGGGAAAGGGGGCCCAGGCCCATCCAGACCGGGGCCCAGTGCAGCAGCGCCGCCCGGCCCCACAGAGCCCGGGACAGTCCACCCAACCCCACCACAGAGAAAACTGCACCCACCCACCATCCACTCATCTTCCAGACTACATAAGACAATAAACACCCAGGCTGAGATCTTCCGCCACCTCTCCTGTATCTCCCCCTCCTGCAGAGGGAGCTCCTGAGGAGAGGAAAGCTCCTGCAAGATGTGACAATCTCCCCCACCAGTTGAAGAGCCCCCCAGGTGGCTCGACGCACCGGCGGCACCCTGCTCCAGGGCTGGGCCCCATGCACCCACCCGCCCACAACCCCGGCAACACACCAACCAGGACCCAAGCCCCCGAGGCCCGGTCCGGGTCCCAGCCCAGAGACGGAGCGCCCCCAGAACCTCACGCCCATCCCGGACCCACCCAGGGGCAGCCAGGCTACCAGGTCAGTAACCCACGTCCGTCAGCACAGACCCTCCCCTAGCCCCGCTGCACGCAGCCGCGAGGAAACAGTCACCTGAGAGCCAACAGAGCCCCTAACCGGACATGACCGCTACCCCGGGTTGAGCCCCCCAAGGAAGATGCCTCCGGGGAACCCCCCGACGCCCTAAGCCTGTCCCTACCCCAAGGTAGGGGTTTTTTATATATCACTTTATATGTGGCGCACTTGATGGGGGACAGATGGGCTGATCTGCTGGGATTTTCCCACTCAACCATCTTTAGGGTTTTACAGAGTGGTTAGAAAAAGAGAAAATATCCACAGCAGCAGTTATCTGGGTGAAAAGGCCTTGTTGATGTCAGATGTCAGAGAAAGGCCAAACTGCTTCAAGCTGATGGGAAGGCAAGTGACTGAAACAACCACTCCTTACAACCAAGATATGTAAAAGAGGGCTTGGGCTAGAGCAGCAGAAGACCACACAGGGTGCCACTCCTTTGAACATTTTTCCAATGTCCTGATTGGAAAAACGTTGCCTGGTCTGATGATTCTCAATTTCTGCTGAAACATTCAGATGGTCAGACTTTGGCACTTATACAGCATGGATCCACCCTGCCCTTTTCTGTTTTTTAAATTTATTTCATTTGATTCTTGAATGAGGTAATCAGTCACGTTAACCTAATCACTTTTCAGTTGAACTAATCAGTGGTTTTGCATCTTTCTTCTTAGATTATATGTTAATGTATGCAGCACTGCGTTTCTTCTACCTAACCAGGTCCATCCTCCTCACTAAAAGTTGATGGGATTCAATTAGGGTCAGTGTTCCTCCTAGTTCTGCAGTCATTATTAGAGCACAGGTCGGACTACCTGCTGATGTTTCGCTTCTTTAACCCTGAAACATCTCAGGGTGGTGGAGCAGCAGTTGAGATGTCTCCTTTCTACGCCCTGTAGCTGGCCCTGGGATCCCAGAGGTGCTGCTCTGGTATAACCTCTGCAACCAACTTTTTCTAGGAATGTTAAAAGCTCGATTTAAAGGAAGGATAAGTGATGACCGTCTTGGTCAGAGAAGGTTCCCAGAGGCGATTTTCTCTGGGAACCTGAGAGCACGGTTGAGATCCACTCCCAAGATCAGCTTTCGCCTCCCGGGAACACTAGGGACTGTGTCTACTGTGAGCTGACGTGGGCCTGATCCTCCTTCCTGATGAAATGGATCTGCCTCTGGGATGTTACTGCACTGTTGCTATTTCCCTCCAGCCTTTTACCTCCAGTATTTCCGCCAGCTTATGCAGAACCTGGATGTGTTGCTGTCTATACCGGCAGCCTCAACAGAAAGGCCCACATGGTCGTTCTGTTGAGTATCACTTCCCAGGCTGTCCATCTCCCTTGATGCTGGCCAACAGCCTTGATTTTGTATGAGTCCTCTTCCACCTGCATCACCTCAGAGGTCACCAGATCTTTTCTCTTCTTCTTGGGAGCTTTGGACCAAACCTTGGGTGTGGGTCACCATCCAAGACCCATCCTGCCTGGTTGAGGCACACCTGCAATCTCCTGGTGCTTCAATAAGCCGATGGCTTAATCAACTATCTGCGTCTCAACATATGAATGAAAGTCTCGTCAGAACATTTACATTTTTTTTTGTAGTTTTATTAAACTCTTAAAGCTTTTATTTTTTATCAGTAAAATATTATTTTTAATGAACTTTTATGGGGTTTTTTGTAGTTTTTTTCTTTTATTTGTTTATTTATTAATTTTTTTTATTATTTTTGTTTTGCATTAGTATTGAAACTAAGGACAACCTTAGTAATTTGTGACCTTACCTTATTACAACCAGGATTATCATTATAAGACTAATGTAACAGACAGTGGTAGAGTCTGTGTAAAGCTGAACGGCATCATTTTGTATTACAGAGAGTGGTTTGTTTTTCACCAGACAGTCGGGAAAACAGGAGAAAATGTGCTGCAGGGAGCGGGACTGCTGCAGTCTCTCATGAACAAACTGAAGATCGACAGGCTGTGTGTGTGTGTGTGTGTGTGTGTGTGTGTGTGTGTGTGTGTGTGTGTGTGTGTGTGAGAGAGAGAGAGAGAGAGAGAGAGAGAGAGAGTGCGTGTCTACATCTTAGAGATGAGCTACTGAAGAAACTTTATCTTTCGTACTTGTAAGCATGACAAAATCTACTCATAAAGTGAGATATAATCTCTATTTTCTCATACGATGTATTCAAAATAGAGATTAATAGATATTGTTGAATTGGTTTTCCCTCGGACTATTTTAAAAGCATTTAAGGGAGTTAACTGTATACTGATTAAATTTACAAATAGCATTAAATGCTAAATAAATAGCTTAACATAATCTTTTTCTCTTTGTCAGAAAATACCAAAAATACAAATATCTAACAAAATAACTTAAATTTTATATTAATTTTATTTACTGTGCACATCAATTAACACCAACACTTGTAAAAGTCCCAGATTCTTTTTTAAAAATCTGCTTATAAAAGTAAACTTGTAAAACTTGTCAGCTCAGCTCTGTGTAATTGTATCCATGTCCGCTAGGTGTCAGTGTGGAGCCACGGCACAACTTTAAATGAACTCTGTTGCTTTTTGTTGCCCACCTTTTTAACCTCCACTTTACCTCTGCACCGCAACTCCAAGTGGAGGTGTTTGATGGGATAGTGAAGAAGTATAACAGCAGTATAACCGGTGATAAAAAGCCAAAGATATCTCTTGATTCAACGTAAATAAAAAAATAAGTAAGCGTTGCGGGAGGGCGTGCCACCTGTGACGGCAGCTGAGTGGACGAGCTGCGAGTCTGCGCCTCTGTCAGTGCTGCGTGTCTTTCAGCGGGTGTTTGCGAGAGTGCACAGGCAGGAGTGTAAAGTCCACTTGGATTATCTGAAGCTCGAAGAAACATACATATCTTTTTCTGCGCACGAATACAGGTAAGACAGCCGACACACTACCCGATCTCTGCAGGGATACGAGATACCTACCAAATATATGATTTAGGCTCCCGTGATAATACCTTTATATCTCTTTAGTGTCAACGGCGGTGCTATAGTAAGAATGTCTACAGCGTGATTCTCTTTAAACAAATTACTCCTTTCAGTTATTGTTATACAGATTTCCTACATTATATTTCCTGCATGTTTAAGAATACTTACCTGTCTATTTTTCTTCTTTCTTTTTCTCATTTACATTAAAAATAAATCATTTCGGTTCATTTCTGTGTTAAAATTGAGCCTTAATTGAGAGCATACTGTGTTATAACTTAAGGAGCTGGAAGAGGTTGATTGATCTGATAAAGGTGGCCATCTCCTGTCCAGCCATGGTGATCTAATCATCATTAGGCCTGCATTTAAATCTGTGTGGATCCGGTGGACCCGCTTATCTACCTGTCTATTTAAATAAAAAAAAAAAAGAAAAAAAAATCATGACTTGAGAGGTAAGAGGAAGAAAACTGTTGGAAGACCTGTGCAAAGAAAGGTGTTGTTAGGTATTGTTATGCAGATAGTGTCCTCGATGGTCATTTCTTGTTTAACTCAAAGGATTGGTTAGCCGTTTTTTGTTTGTTTGTTTGTTTGTTCCTGCATTATTAAAATGTTGATTTTTAGTAATTTCTTACCATGTTTTCTGTAATGCCTTCAGAAGCGGCCTAACTCAATATTTTGCTGTTATTGAGGTTTAGCTCAGTCCAAAGGGACAAACTTGATAAAGCTGTGTGAAAACAGGAAGCCCAGAATGAAGTCACCACCCTTTATTAATGAAAATTAACAGATTAGCCTCCTGGTTCTTTCTGCATCAAGGATTTTGCGTGTTTTGTACAGAATTATGGTGTTTTTAAGTCTTGTTTTGCCTTTTTACTTGCATGCCTATATGCATCCTATTTTTTTAGGGTGTCTCCTCATCAAATTTAAGTGCTCAGCGATAGAAAAGGTTGCTGGCAGAAAGATTGTTGAAGCTTTCTGATGCAAATCTGGATATTTCCCCCCCCTAAATACTAGATTAAAATTAATTGCAAGGCTGCTGCTGAGTTGAAAGATTCTGACAAATAGCACAAACAAGCTGCAGGATTATCAATGATGGCAAACAAAATCTTAATAATACAAAGCATTGCTTCTGTCAGAATGACTCCAGTGTGTTAAAGGTGGGTTTAAAGGGCTCATTGTACCCCGATTGTACAAAGTGTAAATACTACAGTCCTCTGAACAAATGGAGTTCAGTTCAGCTGGCGTCCTTTTGTCACTCTGTGAAACAAGACTGTTTTAAAGCAGTCTGACTGCCAGTTGAAGCAGAGCTCAGTGGCTTTGACTATAATCTTTTCACCACTCGCACACACATCCAACTCAACAACAGAGAGTTTGGAGTCCTTTGGGACCAGTGTTGTCTGTTGATGGAGCTGTCGCCACGGAGCTCCACTATTTTCTTTTCAAGCAGGTTTATGGACGCCTCAGTTGGCTGATAAAATCCATTTCCGTGAATGGATGTCATGGGACAGAAAGCCGGCAGCGAGATCAGGAGGAAGGCAGATTAGGAAGGTCGTGAGCGGTAGAGCCTCTGTGATTTCCCCTGGATTCGGCTCATTTCGTTTTCAGCATTTCATTCTCATTTCATTCTTTCAGCGTTTCCTCAAAGTTTTGATGGTGTGTTCTGTGGCCAATTAACAGCTGAAAGCTCCTGCATTCATGGGGTCTGAGGTACTCGGAGGAAATCAGGAATAATTGATTTTAGATGACAGAGAATTGGGAATGTGACAATTATGGGATTTTTCTCTGCACTGCTGAACTTTCTGACAGTATTTTACCTCCTTCCTGACTGCTTCCTCTCCTCTCTTTCATATTTTCTTTATCTTACTGTCACCTTACGGTTTCATTTCTGCGTGAACAAACCCCTGCTCCTCTGAAGATTATTAGACCACATCAGGACCGCTGTGGCTGACTGATTGAAAGGATTTGCACCATGACAGCCCATTTGAGGGATTTTGTGTGCATGAGTCAGATGAATGACTTATTACGATCCCCTCGGCGCACCTCCTTCACCACCTTTTAGAAGGAGCTCAGACAAAAGTGGAAGCCAAGTTGACGCACCTTCAGTGTTTGACAGTTCCCACGAGGGCTAGCACATGCTCAGAGGGGACGCAACAGAAATAATCAGCTCTTGCCAAAGTAAAATTGGCATTAAGGGAGCAAGATAGAGCTGTGAAACCCTATAAGAACTTTAAGGTTGGTGGAAGTGTCGTATATCTCAAATGGATTAACTCCAGGAAATAATAAAACATGGTTTATATTATTTATATAGATTTTCCCATTTATAGTTCTTTTCCACTGGCCATTCACTCAAGTTCAGCAGAAATACTTTGAAATCTGTTGCTTTTGAAGATTTAATCGATTTTTTTTTTGTCAAAAGAATGAAGCATAAAGGACTTTGTTTCTTCTTTTCTATCACGTTGAGGGAGTTTAGGAGTTTTCACATTTAGGAATCTTTTTTTAATGCAGCCAACTTAAAAAAAAAAAAAGCAGTTTTCATCAATCAAATATAATCTAGCAATATTTGTAACAGTTTGTTTTATGTTTGAATGTTATGCACCATTGAATGCTCGTCATTATGAGTTTTAGTTGTGTAAGTCACATGGTTTTTAGTCATGAGTCTTGAGTTCATCATTGTGCAAGTCTGAGAGGCACTAAAACATCTTGGTTAGGTTAGGGAAAAATATGTTTGGTTTACTATATACTACATGCGCCTACGTGCACTTTTTCATATGATTGCCAGAAATCTCCTATAGCAACAGGGTTCCTTTATATTTATCACCAATTACAGTGAATGATAACACATCTGCTGGACTATCATAGAGCTTCCAGAAGGGCTCCCACTGGATGTTCATATCTATGGAAGTGATTACAGTGCCATTCAATGGAATGACAACAATCAAAATGAGTGGTCTGACAAAGTACTGCATTTAGAATGATTAAAGAAACAAGCGTGAGCAATATATCCCCCACATATGAGAACATATTCCAGAACATTTTTCATGTTTATTTATTGCTGCACCTTCTACATGCTGGTCAAACTTGTGGCTACAAAACCTTTTGGCAGCTTTCCCAACACAGATTGTGTTTCAGAAACAATCCTGACTCAGAAGTGCATTAAACAAGTGCCGAGTTGTGTATTATCTGTTTCCCCATTATTTAAAGTGTCTGCGCTTTTGTTAACTTTCTACTGTGTTATTATAGACAATTACTTTTCTTTATTTGTATGTGTGTTATATGACTGTAATGTATGGTGTGTATATATAAGTTCACTCAGGCCCTATTTAGTAAAAAAAAAAAAAAGAGAGAGTATTTTCAGTTATACTCATTTATATTTGGAGGTATTGCTTTTTTCTGGGAATGCCTTGGCAAGATTATTCTATAGAATCACAGGACTCTGTGCAGGACAAGTTCAATTCTGACACTGACCAAAGGCTGCAAAACAAGCCCAAATCATCATCACACCACCACCGTGCTTGACAGCTGAGGTGTTTATGCTGCTATGCCGTGTTTGGACATTGTTCCAGACGTCTTGTGGTTTGCTCAGATGCAACTTTGCAAACCTAAGTCATGCTGCTATGTTCATTTTAGAAAGAAGAGGCCTTCTTCTGGTAGCCCTTCCCAACAAGTCATACTTGTTCAGTCTGTTTATAATTGGACTGTCTTAACCTTAAAATGCTAAATGAGGCGGGCAGAGTCTCACACGTTGCTCTTGGGGTTTAGGTTTTTTCCCCTGAGTTCTGATCTAGGGGGGAATTTGCTGAGAAGTCTGCATCCACCTGAATGCTTTAGACCAGCAAACTGCCAAAATTTCTGTTTTTGTGATCACACTTGCTAATGTTAAAAAGGTCAAGTGCATTTGATTTGCAGCACCTGGCTGCTACTTGCCCCCTTAATAACTATGAAAGCAGTCATTTTTCACAGGATGGCATAAGGACCTGTGCAAACTTTGTTTTTCACATGACTACATGAAAATGGGGGAGCTGGGGTGGAGGTGGGTTGCAAAGCAGCTTGTAGAGACAGAGTTTAAGCCTAATTACACAAAGTCTAATTACCTGTCTGTGTGCGTGTAGGTGTACCTACTGTTAGCCTTGCATTTCGTGTAGTTTCTCTTTTGTCCGCACCTGCATGCTGCTGTGTTCATCTCTAATGTTATGCAACACCGAAGCCAGCTGTTGTCATGGTGTCAGCCTTGAGGGACTGCTGGTACTTTCTGTGAGAGCACACACACGGTTTCTCGTGCTAATGGCTTCACCTTTCTGCCCGTTTCTTGCCGCAGCCTTGTATGTGTGTGTAAATAGATTTGTGTTGTGCATGCCTATGCTCATAATGTAAGGAACAAGCAGGCTCCCTGGAGAGTCACCTGTTTGCAGCACTGGAGGCAGGTTTTGATTGAAAAGAAAGCGCTAAAGAGTGTGACTGTTTACATTTGGAATCAGGAAAGCAGTTCAAAAGGTTTTATTCGTGTGATTCTTTTTTAATGAGAAGCGGAGAAAGGGTATAAGTGAAAGAATGGCATTACCATGAAATTGGATAATGCTAGTAATGAGTGTCTGTCAGTGTTTTCTCAGTGCCTGTGTGTGCACTGGCGCTTGGTATAGACACACACATATACACCACCTCCTTCTCCTCTGCTCACCGTCACTCCTTTCCCCCTCTGTAAGAGGGTCTGGCGGAACAACATTGGCATTCATATCACAACACACACATACATATCTTTGAAATGATCATATTTCACAATCTTTCCACTCATGCATTTGACTCCTGTCAGGTATGTCTGCTGTTTTGAACTGGCTTCACACCTCATCGATCTGGATTGCTTCACGTCGCAAGTGTTTGCTCGTTATATCGGCACGTAGCTCTTGTTTGACAGTCGTTGTTTGGTTAATGATATTTTCAGCCCTATGTTTGTATCCAACAGCTGCTGCTCTCACACATCGCACTCTTTGCAACATGTAAAGCCAGACCGGTCTCGCAGGGCAGCATTGATCTGCGAAAGCCTCCAATATTTTACTGAGCAAATCCACTTTGTATCTCTTTCATATCTCTGTCGTCATCCTTGTGAAATCCTTCCACATCAGCTCATCTAATGTGTTTGAACTCTGCTGTTTAACTTTACCGGCTTTTCTTCTTTCTCAACTTCTCTGACTTTTTAAAGGTGTCACATTTTTAATCACAGACCACTGACGCTGTTCGTTTTGTGTGTTTCCTTTCTTTCTCTTTTTTTTCAGGTTCCTTCAGCGTGGCGAACAAGAGGCTGCCTGTTTTCGTCCGAGTGCGTCGGTGTGCTGTTTTGTGCGTGTGTATTTGTGTGCAGGGGTGTATGTGAGTCACAGGGTGAATATGCCAGTGTGAATGCCTGTATATACATATACATCCTGAACGGAGAGTGTTTGTCCCGTGAGGTGCTCGGTGGAGATGCAGCGAGGTGTGTCCTCTGTGGTGCAGCTGCTGCTGTTGCTGGGCTGCTTGTGTGCCGTGGCAACCGGCTACCTGTTCAGGACACCCCTGGACCTGGATGTGACTCCACGTGTCACTGTGCTAAACAGCGGTAAGGACAGACACGAACACGTGTTGCACCTTGCTTTAAAATCATCAGTACCGAAGTTTATTCCAACATTCATTAGTGAACTGTTAGAAGCTGTTTTTTTTAACAAATTCAATAATCATGCAGAGTACAGGTTGGAAAATTGAACTTTTGAACTTTGTAACGTGTGGCGCCTGTTTCAACCAGCTGCTGAGACTTGGACAGCCTTCAGGAGAATTCTGGGATGTCGTAATTGACCAGCCCTGTTCAGGTCTAAATGGGGTTGAGGGCAGGGCTCTGACTTTGCCATTATAACACATGACTTTTCTGTGTTTTAAAGCATTCTGTTGTTGTTGTACTTACAGATTTTGGGTCATCTCCTTGTAGCATCACCTCAGGCCTAAGAAATCGCTTGATTTAGTTTTGAATTTGTTGTCCCATAAATTATAGCAAAGCGTCCAGCTTCTGAAATGGCAAGGGAACCCCAAACTGTGACATAGTGATGAGGTATTGGTTCTGGTGTGCAGTGCATTTCTTTTTTCCTGGTTTATGTGCAACTTTTTTTTTTCTCATCATTATCTCAGAAATATTGCGACGCAACATTTATCCCGGTTGTCTTTTGAAATCTTTAAGCGGTTTTTTTTTTTTTTAAGCGTTCCTGCACAGCGTTATTGACACATAAACAAAGAAAGTAGCAAGTAAAGATTTCTGCCCTTTTTTTTTTGTTTTGTTTTTACCTCTTTCAGAAATGTACATTGTGTTCTTGGTGTAATCTTTGCAAGACGCCCACTCCCAGGGAGTGTAGCAACACTCCTGGAGTTTCTTCATTTATAGACAGTTTGTGTTATTGTGGACCAGTTTTTAGAAATGAAGAAGTAAGCTTTTAAGAAACTGCTAATCTCTCTAATGCTCCTTTAACTGTCCTGTAAAAAATGTTGTTTAAAGCTACCAGTTTTTCTTAATAAGTGCAGATTTAGTCAGAAATCAAACTTTGTGTGCCCTTATTAATAGGAAAAGTGTTTTCAACAACCCAGCATAGGCTGGATATATAAAATATCCAGTCTTAATAGTAAAGGTGTTTAAGGGCTTTAACTATCTGGTTGAAAAAAAGTTTGATCAGAATCAAAATGCTTTATTAATCCCTAAGGAAGATGTGTTTACAGTTGCTCTAAGACAATAAGAACAGTAACAGACTGAACTAAATTAAATAATACAATCTATTACAAAGTTTAAGAAAAAGGGTATAACTACTGCTCTGTGTATGATAGAGGAGTCATGCAGGCAGGAATGATATAATAATGGAATTATAATATAAATATATATTTTTGTCTCACTGTGAACACACGTGTTTCCATTTAAAGTAACAAGTTGCTACCATATTGTCAGATTCACCCCCAGCTTATCACTTATCTAATCTCCAAAAATGGCTCGAATGCTCATCTCAAGGCTTTGACTAGGAATTCCTAAACCAATGGGTGATATTTATGGAAGCCTGTTTCCGCCACTACAAAAAAAAAAAGGATCCATAACTCAAAATTTCAAGTTATTTTCTCGAAATTTCGAGTTACTTTCTCTAAATTTCGGCATATTAACTCGAAATTTCAATTTCTTAACTCAAAATTTTGAGAAAAGTAACTCAAAATTTCGAGTAAGCACTGCCAATCAGTAATCTACGTGAATGATGTCATTTCCTTGTTACCCGGAAGCTGAAGTCCTCAGCTACAAATGCTACAGCTAAGCTACTGGTATTACATCCAGTCGTGAATGCACAGATTGCTGAGTGTTTTCAGCGTGGCTTCACAAATGATGAAATCCCTGTGTTTTTAGCTGAATCACATGGCGTTACTATCAGCAAACGTACTCGCGAAAGCGCCAATTTGTTGGGATCCGTTTTTGAGTGCGCGTTCCTCTGCGCCAAATGCTTCCGGGTAACAAGAAAGCGACTTCATTCACGTAGATTTTTGATTGGCAGAGCTAACTCGAAATTTAGAGAACATAACTCGAAATTTTGATTTATGGATACTAGGTTTTTTGTTTTTATTTAGTGGCAGAAACGAGCTTCCATAGATATTGCCTTGGCACAGGGGTTCACTTTTGTTATTCATCCTGAACTGATCACCCGTTGTAAAGATGTGAAAATGTACCACTGACTGAGATGTAAATCAGACCACATTTTAATGACTAATTGCTGCAGAAATCCTTGGATTTCCAAGCATTGCACAAACGTTTGAACTGTAGATAAATAGCTGAAGATGACTCATAACTCCGTATTTATTTCGCTCTTTACGTGCAGTCATCAGTCATCTTTTTTTATTAGAAAGCTGCTGATTGTTTTCTAAAAGTAGACTTTTACAAAAAAACTCCTCACTTGTCCCTTTTTCTTTCTCTGCCCCTTTCTCCATCTAGTTTTCTTTCTTCTCTTTCATAGCATTTTATCCCTCATTATCTCCCGAAGCAATGCTTTTCTGTTTCTCTCCACTCGCTCCTCTATACCTCAATGTGTGCACACAGAGTTTAATATACCCTCACTTTCCTCTAACACCTGCTTCTTCTGTTAACCATGAGGATTTATTTTATCCGGCTGTGATTATTATTTACTTACCTCATGAGTGATGGCATGTAGCCTGAGGTGCTGCAGAGACAGAAGCAGATGAGTGTACGGTGTACGTTGGGCTCCCTGCGGAGCATCCAGGGCGCCCGACACCGCCATAGGTAGTTGAGAAGCACCGTAACCATGACAACTGTTGTGGTATTGCACAAGTTGACGGTATAGAGCATTTTTTTCCTTTAGTTCACGTATGGCAAAGCGTGCAGTGCCGTCTGATCCCGGACTTTATTTGTCGACGCACAGATGTGTGCAAGAAATTTTCTCACGTTTCCACTTTGAATGGCGCCCACATTTCCTTCTGCTAGAAATACTCATAAAGCAGTATCACTCTTCTTCTTTTTCTAAACAGTTGTACTTCACAAAGCACGTCACCTGCTTACACTCATCCCATGCCCATCTTTTTACAATTCTTGATACGTTTATATCTCACTTTCATCATCAGTTTAATCATCGGTTTGAGCTCACTCAAGCCCACAGGTCCTCCCACACAGCTCACCCCCTCACACTTCTATCCTCTTCCCCCACCTCTCCTCATCGCTCTGCCTTTACACTTAAGCTCTTTTGCCTGATTTTTCTTCATTAGTTTGTACTTTTTCTGGTTCACTGCCCTCTTTTTCCATTTCTTTATATTGCCTCCACCTCTTTTTTTTTTTTTTTTTTCTTCGGCGTCCCTCCTACTGATGGGAAGCCTTCGATATGCAAACTTACCTCTAATCCTTTTAATCGCTGTGTTCCCTGGCAACCTAAAGTCAAAGCTACAGAAACCAAAAGGGGCAAGAGAAGTTACACATACATCTACAGTGACTCCCAGTCTCTCATGCTTGGGCTTAAACGTTCCCTTTTTTCTCTTAAGCAAGGTTAAATCATTCAGGTGTGTTTAAAGATAATTAATTTGATGTCTTTCGGCACTCAGACAGTTTGGAGCAGCTGAAAGATTAAAAGCTGGCACCACAGTGAAGGGCCATGGTGCAGAAAACACTAATAAATTGGCAGTACATGTAAATGCACTTTTATTACACCCACTGAGTTAACCTGTTGGGTATTTCGGGAATTTGCCTCCTCTTAGACGCTCGTATTTAGGAATGTTGCACACATTTTTATTTGCCTTCTCTCAGCCATAAACACGCCTGAGACTCGGTGTAAGTTTGTATGCAATTCCGTTGCCACGTCACAGTCCAGCGCCTTGATGTTCATAGAGTATGCTGGCGTCCCTGAACACAACGTGCTGTACAATCAGCTGAGATCCCTCCAAGTGTTTGCTGAGTGAATAACAGTATCTGAGTTCGCACCTTTTCTTTCCCTGTAGACTAACTCAAATGTGCCTGTTCTCACCCGATCTTGTAAGCCGAGGCTAACCTGTGACTCGGGATGTTATTTCATTGTAATAAATCCCAGATAAACCCTCCCTCTGCTGCTCTGTTTCCAGTTACCTGGCACGCCTGTCGCACAAGCTTACACACACAGTTCATTGTGTGCCCTAATGCCTGGATTACACGCTTGAAACGTAGGCACTGTCTCTGCAATAACTCATTGTATTTAGTCACAATGAGGTACTAGTATCACATAGGAAAGGTTGTTACTCTGAAAAGACCGTACGGATGATAACCTTTCTCCTCCTGCTGAGAATAGGAGAGAAAAGCAGGCGCCTGATCACCAGCTTGGGATGGCATCTGACTTTTGCTGCTGCTGAAGTGAGCAGAGTGGATTGTGTTTCGCAGCAGCTGATAGGAATCTTAATGACGGCTTACTTTGAGCTAACCATGCAATCTTCAGGGGAAAGTGAATTGGCTGAGGATCCAGGAAGTCTGGCAATTTAAAATTTGTCTCTCGTAGTCAATAGCAGTCATAAAAAGCGGCTCACTTCTACATTTATATGGCTTAATTATTGTGCTGATTGTAAAACCTGCACAGGCACGTCAGATATCTTAATTAGATGTTAAATAAAAAAGGTGCATCACAATGGTAGTCATGTACTTGGGCTCTTTGTTTCCAAGAAGTGTAGGCATGTGCAAGGGTACTCACAGTGGTGTTAGACTACTGATCAACTGCACCATGCAGCAGCGTGAGCAAAACGTCTCCTCGTCAAGATCTAACTAACTGGTGAACTGTTCCTTTAAATACTTCAGAAAGTGAGGTCCCATTTATAAACAAACAAACAAATAAATTAAAAGAATACCTCAAGTATTTCATGAACAAGTCTGTGTGGTAGTTTATGAAAACTGTGACCATGTGTAATCATAATTTGTCTAACATTCATGCTTTAAAATTGATCAGAAAACATCAACGACTGAAAAACAGACAAGAAAAATCTGTTTTGCTTTAGGAAAGACTAATTTTCAACTTCATGCTTTTAATGACACCAAAATAAAATCTGGGACAACTGGGCTTAACCTGAGGATGGAAAGTGTTTAACAAATCATTTGAGTGTAACGCGGTGACTATCACAGCTCATCTGTTTGTGTGTATGAAAGTCACAACCGTCACCTTAAACCCTTTTCTACCTCAGAGTAAAGATACAATTTAGTATTCAACGAGTGCAAGAAAACCTGCGAATTCTTACATTGATAATACTGGAACCACCAGATTTTTGGGGTATTTGTTTTAGCAGACCTGGTGATAGGATTGTGTAGTCTGTTGATCCATTGGTTTGCCGCAAGACTTATGAAGTATTCATGGTATTAAAGTGAAAGTATTTGATGTATTTTCTTAAAATTTGTTTTCTGTTCACGGCTATTTTAAGTGTCATTCTGTTTGTGTGTGCTCTAGTGGTTTTTCTTAGTCACAGCTTGGCATAAAACTTCCCGAATAGATAAAGAGTTAACGATCACTAGCTCTAAGATATATACCACAAAACGAATTTCTTTCCACAGGCTATCACTCGATCATTAGATCACTAGATCACTCGCATATTGTCTCTGCTTAAACATTCACCATACCTGCTACACAACCAAAGCCTGATGCATGTCTTGTTGGTTGTATATACCAATATACTGTCAAGTTTAAATCTATATACTGTATCTATAGCAACAAGTTATCCATCCTTCAATTATTCCATAATTTATTCCAACATCTTTGCAGTCTGGACTATGCTGTACATGTTGGTACTGTCTGTGAAGAAGGCAAAGAAGAACATGTAGCCCAATTCCTTGTATTTGTGCACATTCCTGGCTAATAAAGCCGATTCTGATTGCAAAGAAGTTTTTTTTTTTTCAGCCACGACACCAGCAGATTGAAATTTAACAGTTGTCTCTACCTCACTTTAAAAAAAAAAAAATCAACGTTTTTCAAAGAACTCTCTCAAAAATCAAAGAAGAAGGTCTTCTTACCACTTTGCCCCAGTGTATCTGTAACCGGAAGGTCGCCGGTTCGATCCCCGGGCTCTCTGTCCTGGTCGTTGTGTCCTTGGGCAAGACACTTTACCCTACCGCCTACTGGTGTTGGCCAGAGGGGCCGATGGCGCGATATGGCAGCCTTGCTTCTGTCAGTCTGCCCCAGGGCAGCTGTGGCTACAACCGTAGCTTGCCTCCACCAGTGAGTGAATGAATAGTGGCATTGTAAAGCGCTTTGGGTGCCTTGAAAAGTGCTATATAAATCCAATCCATTATTAATATGTAGGCATACATACACGGTTATGGTTGATATCACCCAGAAAAAAAGGTGGTTAAACCTACCAGTCCTCCAATGGATGGCAAATCCATTCCAAATCCAAATTCTTTGTGCCAAACTGCTGTTCATATAATAAAGAGTATGTTTGACCAATTAATGTCTCTAAAGAGTTTTTAAGGTCATTTTTTTTAAGGTCATTAGGAGCCGTTATACATTTAGAAAAAAAAAAGTAGTGTTAAGGAGTTACAGAAGGCCACAATCATTAACGTCCTCTCTCCTCTACTCTCCTAGGTCTCCGAGGCTGCAGGCATTTCCAGTCGTCTGCAGTCAACTACAGCACCATGTTGCTGGAGGCTGACAGTGAGCGTCTGTACGTCGGGGCCCGTGGGGCCGTATTCGCTCTCAATGCCTCTGACATCTCAGCCAGCTCTGCTCTCACTGTGAGTTTGTTTGTTTGTTTTCCATCTTGCTGCATGTTGTGTGCCTCAGCTGCCACATCCTTACCTCTGCCACAGCCTCATTTGCATTCAACATCGCAGGAACCTTTTGAGGCAACAATATTTCAGTCTGAGGCAAAAACATTCCTCTGTCACTAGTTTTGGTTCTGTATGTGTGTGTCTGTGTGTGTGTGTACTTGTATTATTTTTAACACAATAACTCACAGGACTATCTTGCTGCATAAATTAATACATTAAATAGAAAACGGTGAAGAATCAGCTGCTGGATCATCTCACTTTAAATAGATCCAGAATTTATGGCGATACCACTAGTGTATGTTGACACAGAAATAGTTTCCTAATTCATGCAGTAATTAGCATAACTTATAGATCATTTCTGCGCTGCTTTTTACACTCACAGACTTTAAAACTGTTCCAAATGCAAAATTGTGAATATCAATCTCAACTCTGGGATCTTTCGTTAGACATAAATTGCTATTACAGCCCGAACAAATGGTCTTTTTTGGACAAAGAAGCAAATTCAGATGCTAATTAATATCATGGGCTAATATAACTGTAGGGTTGGTGACTGTAAGACATTTTCCTTTTATTATCAACATCAAATTTGTAATTTTCGTTCTGCTAACCCCATTTTTTGCACCATTAACGACTGAAGTTAATTCATCTGTGAAAAAATATATCTACAGCTTTGTTGAATGGCTATTCAGAATTTTACATGCTCAGCTATGGAGCACCCCGTTGCTTTGCTGCTTTCACAAAATAATGCAATTTTGTTTATATGTTAAGCAGTCTTGAAATATTTAAAAGCAGTAGGAAGCACATACGCTTTCACACAGGTACGGCGGCTGTTGTTCATAAAGAAGGCATCAAATTTTCATCATAGTCTGTTTTGTATTTCTGACAGGGAAGCTGCAGCGAGCGTATCTCCTGCCCTCTGTGAAATTTCGAACATAACTCCGAGACCTGTAGTCAATCAAATATTCTTAGCATTACCCCACCAGGACCACTAGAGTTAAAATCAGCACTCTTAAATATTGCCTTCAGTTTGTGTCGACTTTCAGCACTGTGTGCTCTAGAATAAGGTAATTAGTGTTGACTGTCTTCAGTAAGAACTGAAAACCCTGCTCCATATGTCTTTTGCGCATCTAAAAAGGAGTTTACTGTTAATCATTTCATTAAATGTAAAACCTCATTCATCACTGTTGGACATTTGCAGGGTTGGTTAGCGGAGCACGAATATGCGAATATGCACAGGCAGTAGTAATTGCCCGTGGCTAGACACTACTTGGACTTCCTTCATAGGAACTCATCTACATTACAACTTTGTAATTGCTCTTTCCACACAAAGAGGTGACTGACTGGTACGCTATGGAAAAAAATTGAAAAAAGTCAAAATATCAAGGCAACGTGATTTAATAGATTTTTCTGCACTGGTGTTGACTTTACTTTGAAAGTGTTCAGGAAACTTGACTCGTCCTCTTCAGCTACTTGTTACTAATACTCCTGTGAGGTCAACAGTAAAATTCAAGCTTCAGCGCCGTGTGTTATACCTTCACAAAACACATAAATTCTTGTTGAGTAAACAGACTCAACATGAAACCTTTTCCGTGTAATTTTCGACTCCTATTTGGACCATATTTATCTAGCAGGGGTTGTGACACCCTGCATAAACCTGTCTTTATGTTTAGTCCCAGTTGTGAAAGGTGGGAATTTTGCTTCTGAGGCGAATTCGGGAAGTTTTATGCCAACCTCTACACCAGTGCAAAACATAATGTTTCAGCTGACTTTCAGCAGTGTCCTCTTCAGTTTATTTATTCATTTCTTACATATTTATAGAAAATTATAGCAACATAAATGTCTTTGGAAGGTTCATTTATTTTGACAGTGTAAGAGTTAGCATGCTTGTTAACATGTGAAAGGTTCCCTCTTTGCAGCTAAGAAGAAACACAAACTAAGCCTTGTGTGTGGGAGTCATAAAATAGTGTGCTCTCACTGCAGGTATCAAACCTGGATAAATGGGAAGGTTGCGTTGGGAAGGGTGTCTGCTGTAAAAAATGAGCCAATCCCTAAAATTTATTGTTAACTTCAGAGCTATAGTGTAATTAGCTGAACAAGAAAATCCATATTTTACAGTGTACAGGGTACTAAATACCCTGGCTTAAATGACTCACCTTTACTGCTGTTTTATAAACCTTGTTTGAGGTGTTATATTGTCTGTGATCTATGCTATTGTGTGTTGTTTTTGATGTATAAAATTGATGAATGTTGTGGCCTTTATGCGGCCCTGGTGGAATATTCCACTATCACCTCAGATGGAATTTTGCCATTGGTGTGAAACCACAAGTGGAAAGTTCCTACTGGTGGAACACCAGTGAAAAAGACTCCTCGATGAGGGCTTGTATGTTGTTTCAAAAGTTTTTTTTCTTCAAGTTAAACACAACCATGTTATGAGAAAAAAGGCACTTGAAATTTCATTCAAGCAAAAGTGTGCTTTGGAGTTCTTTGATGTTTTAGCTGCCATGCTACTTTGTTTTCTAGCTTGTGACAACCTGGCATTAAACTGGTTTGCTAATTATCCTAATACAGCAAAAGTTTGTGCTGTAAGGAGTGGCTGCAGTCATGTGCGTGCCACTCCTCTGTCTTGCTGTAAGAATTTACTTTCATTGTTAAAAAACAAACAAACTCGCAGCTGTCTAAGTACACAACAAATTCAGATGATGATGATAACATTCTTAATGCATGCACTGACGAAGCAAAAGTAACGTTATCAGAGTTTATCTGCTGTCATGTCTGTGGCACAGTCCAAAGGGGTTTATGTAGGTTTGTGATATAAAGCCATCCGTTTTTGGGGATCTCTGTCTTACTGTATGTTATCTGGTGTGTTATAGATTGACTGGGAGGCCTCCCCGGAGCAAAAACATCAGTGCCGGCTCAAGGGAAAAGACAATAAGGTAGGCATTTACAGCACTCGTTCTTCCACCCTCAGCCCTTTATTGTTTTGTTTTTTTTGGATATGGGTCTATTTTATGTGTTGATATTAGCTCGCTCTTTGCAATATGTTTTTTTCCATCTTCTTCTTTCAGACCGAGTGTTTTAATCACATCCGCCTTCTCCAGAGGTTCAACTCAACTCATCTCTACACGTGTGGTACTAATGCCTACAGACCCCTCTGTGCATACATAGTATGTACATATATGCATTTTTTTTACAGCAGTGAAAATACAGCATATTTAGAAATTGCATTTTTTGCTTTATAGCCGTGACCTTTACTAAAAAAGAAAGCGTGTGCTTTCTGTTATTTTCCAGTGTTTTGTTTGTAAGTTTTCTGTGATTAAAAGATACCTTTGTGCATGGAGTTTCCATATTCAAATCTTTGTTCCTATACAGGACGTGGAGAGATTTGTGATTTCGTCTCAGCCTGAAGAAGGCAGAGACAAATGCCCCTATGGCCCCACAACAGGTTACACTGCCCTCATTATAGGTAAGGCAGTTAAAATAAACCAGTCTCTTCTTGAGTTCCAATAAACAGCTGTATAAGCTGGTAAACTGTTTTTTTTTTTCTTCCAGACCAGCAGATATACACAGCTTCCCAGTATGAGTTTAGGAGCTTTCCAGATATCCGCCGAAACTCTCCGTCTCCCACGCTGAAGACAGAAGATGCTCCCACACGCTGGCTGAATGGTGAGTTCATTGCAGGATAAAAGCTCCTTTAGTGCGTTTGGGTGGCAGGATGGTGCAAGTGGACAGGGGTCTGAGCAAACAGCCAGCTAACGTCATGTTAAACCTCCACGTGACCTTCTCTGCTGGAATATCCTTGGTGACTCACATACTCCTTCGGCTTCAGTGGATTGGTTATGTAATGGTTAACGTTACGACTGCTACTGATTGAGGTTTGTAGTCCAAGTTTGTAAATCGAACACTTTGGTTCGGGCTCAAATATCTCAGCAATCATCATGAAGTTAGCCTTCATGTCCCTGTCAGGATTAATCATTATGATAATTTATTAAAATTCTTATTAAAATACTTTGTGACAGATGCTCAACATTGCAGTGGTCTTGGACAAGATACCGTACTCCAGTTTATCCCTGATTTGTCTATCAGATTATGCATGTATTATAGTTAAAGTAGAAAAGCACTATATAAGTACTAGTTGGCATTGTGTGCCTGTTAGCATTTAACTTGACACTACATTAGCCGCACAGAGTAATTAGCAAGACTTTAAGGTTTTAAGCTGATCTCACACATGCACTGCAGCCCGGAACTTTTCTAGATATTTCCTTGCACAGAGCTGCCTGCTTCAATACAAATGCCACACTCAATTAATCTGACATTAAAAGGTATTTTAACCTGCCAGCTTCCTAGTAGAAAGTCCATGTGCTGTTCACTTGCTGTAATTGTGCCCATGTGAGAAGGTAGGGCAGGTATGTTGTGTGGGTGTTGTTGGTCCCGGCCCCTGCATGCCCTACCTAACTAGTTTTCAGTAGTGATAGCAGAGTTCATACAGTCTCCTTGTTGTGTGCTGCATATCTATGAGAACAATGTTGGTTCAATATCCTGACTTGATTATTCTGACATTGTTTGGAGTTCATAGGTGAAAACTGCCAGGACCAAGATAATCCCAGATGCAGGTCAGAGACCAGGACAGGATTACAGCTGTTACATAGTGTCTTATCGATCAGGGCAGATGTAAGGCAGTGTCTTATGGTGCTTATTCCTTTCAATAATCAATGGGAATCAATGGGTAGTTATAACCTGGTTGGACACACAGGGGAAGTGGGGAGCCGAAGCCAAGGGATCCATAGCAACAGGTTGTTTAGGGTGGCCTCCAGAAGAAGTAATCACCAAGAGACTAGAGTAGCAGAGCCTACAACATGGCGTCGTGGTGGAGTTGAGAACAGAGTTGTGTTCAGTGTTGTGTAATGTTCAAAATACTTTTGTCACATTTACAATAAGTGCATCTCCTTTTTCCCCCGTTGCAGAGGCAGACTTTGTGGGTTCGGTTCTCGTGAGGGAGAGTGTGGGCAGCAGTACTGGCGATGACGACAAGATCTATTTCTTCTTCACTGAAATAAGCCAGCAACAGACACCAACCTACAGCCACAGCCGGGTGGCACGAGTTGCTCGGGTTTGTAAGGTGAGTGCAGATTGAAAGAGATGCGTGAGATATTTTTCATGTGGGAGTGAAAGATTGCGTCAGGCCAACTTGAGTGAAGGTTTAGCTTATGATAGAAGAGAGGGCTGTAATAGATGAGGGGCTGGATAAAGAATACATTTGGAACAAGGCCTCAGTGTAATTAGAAGAGCAGACTGTGTAGCTGATGAATTGGTTAGAGAGGCAGTGTAAGTCATAGTGAGACGGGTGGATGGCTACAGGTAAGACTATTTAGCATCGTCTGCTGCCTGTATCGATAAAGTTTTAGATTTCCTGCTGCCTGGTAAAGTATCAAGAATGACATGAGCCAGCTGTACTGTTCTAACCTTGTTTTCTCCTTTGGCGCCTTAAAATTGAGTCAGCTCGCAAGTTCTCTCCTTGAAAGCAGGGCAAAGTATTCATCCTAATAGCAGTGCCTTGTGGCTACATGTGTGACGCTAGCAATTTGCCCCAGGCTGAATACATTTTAAGGTTAAAATCAAAAAGCCAAATGGTGCCATTTTTTGGATTTTCCAAAAGACCCGCAGCCTCGAGTGAAGCTTTTTATATAATGAATGGGTGTTGAGATGTCTCTGTGTACGCGTGGCTGTCACATCCAATGTGAGTGCTTTCAACCTGCTGAGGATAAACACACACGCATACACACAAATCTGTAAATTAGTCTTACCTATGGGAAGCTACAACCTTATTGAATATATCGTTATTGCTTTCCCTTACCATCTGTTGTGCTCATCAGGAGCTTCATATCCTTTCGTGTGCCACCTTGAGTGGTGTTCAGTCTATTTTTCTTTTATCTCACATCAACCCCCCCCCCCCCCTCCCCCGTTCTCCCTCCTCCACCCTCTTGTTTTTCACCTTCCTCCTCACCTGTCATCCTACAGGAAGACCGCGGAGGCCATTTAACTCTCCAGAAACGGTGGACGTCCTTCCTCAAGACTCGGTTGACTTGTTCTCTTCCCGAGTATGATTTCCACTTCAACATGCTGCGCAGCGTGTTCGCTCTGCCTGGCCAAACGCCGCAGGACATGCTTTTCTACGGCATCTTTGGCCCTGAGTGGTGAGTGCGAATTTGTATGTTGCCAAGATGGCTGATCGACAGGGTCTTTGAGGATGCAAGTGCAAATGAGTGAGATGGAGATGAAAGGCAGCAATCGATGCGCTGAGACAATCAAAGACGACGTGAAGGGACAGGATGAAAGACAGAAGGAATTTCTTTATCCAGGCGGTGTGAAAAGAAGCTGATTGCAGAAGTTTAACAGCAGTTTAAGGGAAGAGTTGTACTCAAGATTTAACAAGTGACACTAAATCTATTTGTAATACTGCACATGGTTGGGATACTGCTCCTCACCGGCTCTCCTTTCTCTTACCTCAGGTCCGACTACACTTCTCTAAAACCACTTACTTCTCTCCTCCTTCTCTTTTATTCGTCCCAGACAGATATAACTTTTAATCAGCTTCATACCATCTCTTTCAGCGTTCGTCTCCCCCTCCCTCCCTGCCCCACGCTTTCATCCCATTTATCTTTTTCTATCATTTCATCGAGGTGACTCACTGATCTACTGTACTTCTACTGCTGTCACTATGGAAACCCTGGGTTTACTGCTGTTATTGTTCGCGGCTCGCGCTCTGGTCTTTCTCATTGTGTGAGTTGATGTCTTTAGGAAAAACGTGAAGGCGTCTGCAGTGTGTCGGTTCACTCTGTCTGAAGTCCAAGAAGCCTTTCAAGGACCTTACATGGAGAACCAGGACTCTGGTTCTAAGTGGAAGGAATACACTGGAAAGATCCCTGACCCGCGACCTGGAACGGTAAATGCACACACTGGCCAATGAATCCCTTAAACATACTATGCAGCACACAAATAACGTCTCCCTAAGAGAGAGCAGATGAAACCGATGCAAAGCGAAGATTCATAAAGAGAGGACAGGAATAGATGAAGGGAAAATAATTGAGAAAATGAGTGGCGGCCTCAAGGATGAAGCTCAAAACACAACCAGCTTATGTCACTGAAAACCATTTCCATGGCGATTAACTGAAGCTCGCAGCTTGGGTGACAATGGCTTAGTGCAGCAGCCAGGGCCGTGTCATCGTTAGCAGGAGCAGACATCATCCACTGCAGTGTCACTTCAACACTTTGTGGGACTTAATTTTAACTTTGCTATTAAATGGAAAGGAGAAACGGTCAAGCGTTTTAACTTGGGAGCGTGAAAGCCTCTTAGAAGAGTTGGCTGAAATGATTTGAAAGGAACAAAGAGAGGAGGAAAGTCGTTCCCTTAGTCAGGTACAGAGGAAGCTGATTCACCCGCATGTCAGCACAAGCCAGCTGCTGAACCCATGCAGGCTCATTGTAGTCAAAGTAAAAAAGTCAAATTTTCCCCAGACACAGTGTTTCACATTCTCACATTTTCGTCTTGATCCCGATTTTCCCACTAAACCATCGCTAAGCTCTCTGACACCCTCTCTGCCTTCCAGTGTTGGCCTCTATTACAAATAAGTCAAAAATACCGCTGTTCCCTACAGCCCACATCATGCCTTCCTACTTGCTCATCATCTCTTCTCTTGTTGTGCTCTTTGTCTGTCTCTTATTTTCCTGCAGTGTATAACTGATGCTCTGAGGGCCAGGAACATGAACTTCTCCACTTCCCTGCCTGATGATGTTCTGAATTTTGTCAGGAGGCATCCTCTGATGTCCAAGCAGGTCGAGCCTAAGGACCGACGCCCCCTTTTGTTTAGGAGGACCACAGACTACACACACATGGGTGTGCACACGGCCCAGGGATTAGATGGAAAAACTTACCATGTATTGTACATGGGCACAGGTGTGTATAAATTCAGATCAGGTATTAACTTTGCAGCCAGTTAATAATTGTTTTTTCTGAATTGTTGTTGTTTCTAAATGTGTGATAACTTAAGCTTAGCTTGGTGTAAAAACTGAAAACACAAAGCTTGCCTTGTTCCAGAGGTGATGAGGTCCTTGTGGCTTACAGGGAGGTTCAAGACCCTTGCTGTCACTGGAACCAGTCCACCTACATATAATTTTAGACTTCCTGTAGTTCTTGTTCAACCAGCTTTTCATTTGTTTCACAAGAAACAAGCAAAAATAACAAGTCATCCTGTCAGTGGCTTTTCAAGCACTGAGCAAGCAGCTCATATGGGAAATATAAGCAACATTTGAGTGGAAGGAAAAAAAAAGCACTTAGATCTGTACTCAGCGGCTTTAAGGTTGAGCAGTGATTCTTGAACACAGTCTTGTGTCATCCTGGTCCACTGCCAACTTGATGTTGCAATTCTACTTGCATGTAACTACATTGTTTCAGTTTGCGAAACATTCTGACGTGGTCAAAAGTCCTTCTCCTGCCTCTCCCTAGCACAATGCTAGCACACTACAGCAAATTAATTTTATCTGTTCATTTTTATTTTTTTTTAGCCTTTTAGACATTAAAAACCGTATTACAGCACATAATTTTTATGCTGATGTTAATGCCAGAAGATGTTTTGAATGCTGATGCTCTTGATTCAGCAGAGCACTGACAACTGTCACCAGCTGTGCATGGCCACACTGAGCGAACCAGCTCTGTAGCTTTACATGGTCTTCCATTTCTTCGCTGAGTTGCTTTGGTTTCTAAATTACTCCACTTTGTAATAACTACTTATAGCTGATCATGGAATATCTAGGGGTAAATACATTTCACACACTGATTGTAAAGACAGACTGCATGGCTAGCTGCTTAATTTTTAATACCTGCAGCAATGGGACTCAAAACACTTGAATTCAAAGATTAAGAGCCTGTGTGACCAAATATTTTTGTCCAAAATGATTTTATTTACCTGTATTCTAGCACTTATTAATGTATGTAAAAGGAAAGAACAATCTTCAGTGTTTGCAATACCAAATGGTGAAATACATATTAATCAATGGATAAATAATAATTCAACCTATAACCCAGTGTCTGATAGGCATGCACGTTTCATTCAGCTTGTATTACAGTGTGTTTTGTTTTATGTATAGTGCTTTATTTCTAATGATTCCCCTTTGTGTCACCCAGATGAAGGCTGGTTACACAAAGCTGTAGACATCAAAGGTCAGCTGCACATTATTGAGGAGCTTCAGCTGTTTGAAGAGCCACAGCCTGTTAACAATCTACTGATATCTGACAAACAGGTAGTGACCGATGCACAGACAGCCACATTTATTAGATCCAATTTCTGCTTTAAACAAAGTCATCTGTGTCCTATGTGTCCTATACAATATATGACTCTTGTTTCTCCCTCAGTGGAGTGTGTACGTGGGCTCTCCATCAGGCGTGGTTCAGCTGCCACTCTCTAGCTGTGGTAGATACACTTCCTGCTATGATTGCATCTTTGCCAGGGACCCGCACTGTGCCTGGAACGGAGCAGAGTGTGTGGACGTCATGATGCAAGCAGACAGGTCAGTTTGAAAGGTTGTGTGTGTGGTTAGATCAGGTGATTAAAGTGCCCTTTTGTACGTTTGATTTGAGTAAAGTTAAAGTATCAGCGTGCCCTGTCACACTGTCACGCTGTTGTGTAATTCAGTGCTGGCAGACAGCAGATGGTTGTGATTGTAAACATAGCATAGCCTGTGTACTTTAGGTGTCCTGATTATTCAGGAAAGATACGCTTCCTCTAGAAAGCAGATATCGAAGCAATAAATAGCTGACATTCTTATGTTAAGGTGCCTGTTTATTCCTTGTACTGATGTACCTATTGTTATGATTTATCTCTCTTCACAGATCCACATTAATCCAGGATATCCAGCATGGCACCAAGGGATGTGAGAACACGCAAGGCGGTACGCAGAAATCTCATCTGCTCCTCAGTGCTGCTGTTCCAAAAAAAAAAAGAAAAAGAAAAAAAAAACGTAACGCTTAAAAGGGAGATTAAAAATAGAGAACGCATGGAAGGACTCGAAAGATGCATAGTTGTCATCAGATGGCATGAAGGCCTCTTTGAAAGTTGATTATGCGCACTGTGTTGGCAAAATCCTCTCCTCCCTTCTTTAATCACATTTTTGCCATCTCTGGAGAGAAATCTGTTTGATATTCAAGGCAGGCGAAGTCCTTCTCTCACTCCTCAATTTCAATCTGATAAAGTGTAGCTTCTTCTACCCCCCTCACTCCCTCGCTCTGTGCAAGGTAATGTGAGGGCAGGAATTAAAAGATTTGTAATTGGAGTTCATGCCTCAATAACTTTGGATGGCCTTTGATAAATGCAGTAGATGTAAAACAATGAACATATATATAAAACGTGTCTGTGGCTGATTTGTGGGTTTTCTTATGAAATCTGTGTTTCAGCACATGTGGGCTTGCTTGTGTTTTTCAGATGTTGTTCACCGGAACCGCTCGGTGCGGGTCGGTGATGACGTGCTGCTGCAGTGCGAGCTCAGCTCCAATCTGGCGACGCCCCTCTGGATGCTGGACGGCAGACAGGTGCAGGGGTACGACCTCAACTCTGGTTTTAGAACCGGCACAGATGGCCTGCTGATCATCAATGCCCGGCAGGACCAAAGTGGCTTGTACACCTGCTACGGCGTTGAAAACAGTGTAAAGGTTGCAATAGTTACCTACAATGTCACCATCCAGTTGGACCTGCACCCTCTACCGCCTGTTGATCCAACTCATAGCTCTACCACCGTCAGAGGCCCCAGTGAGCATCCCCAGACAGAGAGGGGCAAGCCACCACTGCTGAGCCCTCTTCTCCCACACTCAGATCTGCTTTCCCCCAGGAACATGAAGGCCATCTACCTCTCCCTCATCACTATCCTCGGAGGCCTGTGCGTGGTTCTCACAGTGGTTCTTATCTATGTGGGCTTCTGTTTGCGAGTAGGCCAAAGAGGAAAGTACTCAATACGGGCTGCGGCTGCGGCCCACCAGAGTGGTAAGAAGCACCACAGGAACAGGAAACAGCACAGAAACTCCACCACCATGGAGCTGAAGACCATCTCGAGTCACTGTAATGGCAACGGCATTTGTAACGGAGGTTCAAATATGCATAACGGCAACATCCAGGACGGAGGCTTACTACAGATTGTCCCTGGCGAGGGTCACACTTCACCCAGTAATGAACCTCCTCCCCCAGCACCGCCTCTCCCCCCCACACCTCAACTTACCTCGCCGGGGTGTGACTTTTCCAACGGGCTGTCGGCAACACTGCCTAGTGTCCTGAGGAGGATACATGGGAACAGCTATGTGCTCCTGAGACAGAGCGACTCTGAAAATATGTCACCACCTGGTTATTCCTTTGCTGAGGAGCTCAACAAGATCTTAGAGAAGAGGAAACACACTCAGCTGCTGCCCAGGCCGGATGAGAGCTCTGTGTAGACAGATGTAGCTTCCCCTATAATGGGCGTACTGCTAAGTGTTCTTAGCTGGTGCCTGTCACGTGACTCATTATTGTTGTGGTCTAAAGCAGTGAAAGGGTCAGAAATGAGACATTCCTATTTTTGAACTGCTTGTCAAACTGAATTCCCCAATTTCCCAATGCGCGACAAATGAGAAGATAAATTCCAGTGAAGGGGCCGAGCATGAAACAACAAAAAAGAGCAATCTACCTCACCTCAAAACTGCCCATAAGAACAAGTGCAGTCAGTCCCCAGTCTGATCTGAGTGTCATGTCTGAGCCCTCTGATCCACAGAGCACAAAGCGGGATGCACAGGCTCCACCAACAAGTCAAATTGAGCCACACTGGAATATGAATACATGTGAAGAGTCGATTCAGACCGGAGGGCAGCTAGCCAGAGTTCGTTTGAGCACAGATGGCCTATGCATTTTTAAAAACATGAAGGGAGAGAGGGGAGGGAACGTGGTGCACAATGTTTTTGCTTTTAACTAATTGCAATAACCAACACAATATTTTACAGTAATATAGGACTGGATGGCACATAACATTTACACCAGCCATCAATTGGTGAACTAATCATTATTTAATATTAACCCTGCTTAACTAAGTATTTCTTTATTTACTGATTTATATAATTACTAAACACGTAATGCACCACTTTTAGTAGATAATTATCATATTAATCATTTATATGTATTGTTTAAATTGCAGAAAAATTTATTTGTGTTAATTTGTTGATAATCCAGGTGATGCTGTTAATGCATCATAAATGGTTAAAACATGAAGCAGTGTGTTAGCCTTTAATACTCCAGTTTAATTAATATCTACTAATTCCTTCAAGTAGCCATTAGAGTCCACATTACATGCAAAATTCATGAGGGATTAAACTTATTAAACCCTTAGATGAAAATGTATTAAATAGTGATTATTTCACCAAGTACTGATGGACATCCCAAGATAATATGTGACAGTATTATAATTATTTTAGTGCACTTTAAATGCTAGTAATTTTAAAGTCATTGTTATTAACTCTGCAACCAGCCAGCCAGAGGAAGTTTTTTTTTCTTTCCCCCCCTTGTCAGTGTGATGAGTTGCAACTGTGCAGACCTCAGCTGTGTCTGCTGGACCTTCTCTGACACAGTGGGTCAGGAGAAAAACACTGACTGAGCCTGAATCCACCGCTGAGTGACACCCTGCATGAGACCGTCACACAGAATGACAGACTGCGGGAAACAGAGTTCGCCAAGAGCGTTCCAAGGTTAATCGTCTTTATATTGCACTGATACATCTTCTACACAGGCTGTTAGCCAAACAGGTACTTAAGGCTATGGACCAGAGAGATAAACACCCCTCATTCTTTATATTTTGTTTTCAAGGAGCCAGACTTTGTTGTAATTGTTTATAAGTGGTTTTTGAGGAATAGTTATGAAGGTCTTCAAAGTTTTTCTTTGGGCATTGGCTGCTTTTTTCACTCTTTCAGTCCAGTCCTTATACATTTTCAAAGGAATGCTTTTATGTTTGGTTCGTCCCTTGAATTTGGTGTCTCTTTATCATTTATAGGTCACTGTTGTCTACACATAACAGATAACTTAGTAAAAACACTTTTGTCTCCATTTCTTTACTTGAATCTATGAAAAATGCCAAAACACACAGCTGACAGGTGTAAATAGTAATTTTACACCAGCAAGGTAATTCCCAAAGAGCTATTAGCCAAAAGCTTGGTGTGCAATGTGTGCCAGGAAGGGGCACAGTGAGGCTGAGGTATACCAAAGTACGCAAGATCTGGACTGGAAATCAGTACCAACAGATTTAAAATCTTTGGTTCAGATCATTGTCAATATGTATAGAGGAGGTCAGAACAGAGGCAGTGTCTACAGCCATCTGTAAAACACCGTGGAGTGGAGGCTATGTCATGGCTTGGGGTTGCATTTCAACCCTGGTGTTGGCAAGTTATGAAGGCAGAAAAGTGCCATCAGATTTTGACCCAAAATCCAACAAAAAGGTTTGAATTTTTTTCCAAAGACCTGGAAAACTATTCTTGAAGACAACTTAAGAAAATTACAGGAAAGTTTGGCTAAGATAGTTCAGGCTTGTCTGAGAATCATGGTGGTAACACCAAATATTGACCTTCAAGCTCACTCATTGTACAAACTCTGTTTTTGCCCTATATACTTCATTTTCATGGATTTTTGAATGTTTCAATAAACCGCTGCACCCATTTCCCTAGCAAAGTTTAAAGAAATGAGGTCTGGCTCAGGACTTTTGCACAGTAGTGGACACACAGTTTCTACCCACCTGTATGCTCTAACAGCGTATCAATTAGATCAGCTTGGTTATTAATAATTTGTGCAGGAATGTAAACTCACAGATTTCCGATTGAAAACATATGCTGTAAACTCATTCACAGCTGCATTGTCTTATCTCGAACAAATTACACTCTGACAGAATAATTCATTTATGGGAATAACCCAGCCATGCAGGAAATTAAAACAAATTTCTCTTGCATCAATGATTAATGTTTAGGCTGATTTGGCCATTATGTTGCTCAGTCTCACTCTTAGTCCTTTTTATTTTCCTAATCCATCTTCTCTTGCTGCATCTTCAGCTCCCATGCCTGAGCACAGTATTAATTAAACAGTCTACTTATGACGAGGATGGAGAAACTGAGTGAGAAGTCTCCCTGGACATTTACATTATGTAACACTCTCAGGTTTCTAATTATTTTTCTCATACCCGCGGGCATGGGGTGTGGTTTTCCATTTAATTGCTGTACGTCAAGAGTAGAAAAGCAAAAATAACTCGAGTGTAAACAACATCATGATAAACACGAGTGACGAACATGTAAAGTCGTACGTGTGATTGAACCTAACACGGCTGTGATGTCAGGACGCCAGCGTAGCTGTGGCTTGAGCTCGGCTTTCCAGTCAGCTTAGCTTGAACACTTCACACATTAAAAGCCTTCATTAAAACCATTTGACCTCGATTCAAAGCACAACACCAGGTGAACACAACTACAGGGGTTTGATGTGATTTGCAGTTTTATTCGCTGCAGTGGAAACGCTGAATGTTTTTTGCCTTCTCTCTCGTTTGTAGGTGTGATGAGCGCAGGTCAGTTTGAAGCCCACTTAATTTCATTCCCGAGGATACCATCTCTCAACCAGTGTCAGATGGCAAAACTGGCTGCAAAGATATTCTTTAATGAGCACTGAAATCAAATTTTCTGTCGTTAGTGGACAGTGGCGCCTGAAGCGAGGCTGGATAAGGGCTACAGCATAAGAGTCTCTGCCCCAGCAGCAACAACTGGAAAGGAAATTGTTGGCTCCCGTGTCTTACCGAGCAGCATTTCTTCTTCAGAAAGCAGCTGCGTGTGTGTTTATGTGTGCGCAGAGTGCCCTTCCCTCCGTTTCATGTAATAACCTTTTTTCCCCTCACTTGCTGCATGAATTGTTTCAACACTGTTTCTCTTTAAGTAAAGGACAAAGAAAACTCATTTTACTATTAATCGAAAGTGCCAAGTTTGTTGTTTTGTGCGCCTATTTTATCCCTCAAAGAAGCTGCATATTTATTTTGTAATTTTGTACATTGTATGTTTTGGAATTTACTGTCGATGTTTTGTGTCAAAGTGCCACTTGTTAAACAAAAGCCTAACAAAAAGGAGGATCACACTTTGCCTGTGTTGCACAAAATGTAATAAATAGAAGCACGGTAGACAAACAAAAAGCATGCACAAGCCGTACCAGCACCACAGAAGTGAGTATTTATAACCTACTAAGGGAAATGAAAATACACCAAATTATATATAAACCTCACAATATTCCTAATGTCTTAATGAGGGATCGTTAAGCTTTTTTTGTCACTGTAATTGTTTTGTTCTCTGTTTGCATGCTTGTGCACACAGCAAATCCAATTCTTTTATTAAGCTAACACAAAGAATTAAAAGGGAAGTGGGTTCCTTCACATTTCAGTCATGATGAATTTGAATAAAACTTTCTACTTCAAAGACTTCTTCATTTTTGATTTTGCAGATACAAAGGTAGATGAAAGAAATCCTATCCTTGTCAAAGCTTTTTTTTTATATGTAAGAGGAGAGAGAGAGCGAACTATGTAAGCCTGCAAATATTGCCAGTGAAGCATCTGCTTTGTAACTGGAAGCAGGCCTGAGTTCCTGCAGCAAGCGCAGACTGGTACGGAAAATTTTGCTGTGAGGTTGATGCCCGAGGACTGGTTCGGAGCCAGCAGGAGAGTGCCGTTGATCAAAACCAACTGCATAATGTCCGTCCTGTGTCCTGCAAAGGCATTAAAAGACAACGTCCAATGTTGGAGCTTGTATTGACGAGCTGCAGGCCTTACATTCATGATGCACCTTTTGAATTTACTCAATCGGAAATGCCACAGTGCAGAACTACCCTCCTCCCCTCCCAAACAGATTTCTCCATCATCCATAAGACCTTTTCCTTCATTTCTGGGATTGAGAGGACAACACCCAGTTTTCACACAATGCATTTATTGTAACACATAACTAACAGCAAAACAAGACGCCCATAAATAGGACAGCCGTGTCGTACGCTCACACAAACACACCCATGGAGGATTTGTAAGAGTGCCAGGTACCTGCAGTGTGTACAGCTTGATGTGTGATTAACAAACTGTCATGGTTAGTGTGTTACTTGCGTAATGCTATCGTGGATAATCAGTGTCAACAGGAGGAGCCTGTTCTCTCAAGTGGCACATTGGAATGAGTAGTGTAAAATTTACAGGTTAATTTCAAAGGGCCCGCTCTGAAATGTGGATATCACAAAGCGGTTTTATGTTAAACGACAGAAGTGCAGGCTTAGTGCAGCTTTTTGTGTTTGACGGAATTTACACATTATCAAGACTCCCACATGGAGACATTTAGGATAAAGGGCTGCACCAAAAGGAGCAGGAAAAAATGTGGTAATTTCATCATACCTTTCTCGGTTTTATCTTCTCTACTAGCATCTAGAGAAGACTGCTTTGATAGACAGTGTGATGGGCGCAAGCCATTACTTTTCTAGACTACACACTTTGAAGCCTAAACATTAGTGTTTTGGCTGATGTCATGCCGTGTAAACTAAAAGTTACCTTTACTGGAAAAGAGTAGTACAAATTATAATGGTTATAATGACAGAAAATTCTCAGTTAGTCCAGTTAGCAGCATGTTACAATGTTTGGCACTTTAGAAGCCACCATTCTTGTCTTTTGAAATAAACAAATGTGTGTATATCTATCTATCTATCGGTAAAATGGTAAATGGCCTGTATTTATATAGCGCTTTACTAGTCCCTAAGGACCCCAAAGCGCTTTACATATCCAGTCATCCACCCATTCACACACACATTCACACACTGGTGATGGCAAGCTACATTGTAGCCACAGCCACCCTGGGGCGCACTGACAGAGGCAAGGCTGCCGGACACTGGCGCCACCGGGCCCTCTGACCACCACCAGTAGGCAACGGGTGAAGTTGCCTATATTTGAAGGAGAGGCTTATCTACGGTGGCCCTGAGAGGCCAAACGGACTGCAACTTAAGAAAACACCAGCAATAAGAAAAACGCTGCAAAAGCACACAAAACACAACGGAAACAGGAAAAACGAAAACAGAAGTAGGAAAAAAACACAAGGGAAGTGTTTCTGGGGAGACAATAACCCGACGGACCAGTTGCAGGAACCTACAAGATGGTAGGCGTGTTTTATCATGATTCATATGCTACTGGTGACGGATTTTTAGGCTAATAGTTAGGCTAGCACATTTACCGCTCATCTTTTCTTTCCTCACAAAACCGACAGATCCTCCCCTTCTTTTAAGTGTCTCCCAGCGCAATTCTAAGCATATTTTGGTTCCTGCAACTGGTCCGCCTAGTTATTGTCTCCCCAGAAACACTTTTTTCCTTTTTCTGTTTTAGTTTTTCCTATTTCCGTTGTCGTTTTTCCTACTCTGTTTTGTTTCCCCCCCCCTATTTCCGTTGTGTTTTGTGTGCTTTTGCAGCGTTTTTCTTATTGCTAGTGTTTTCTAAAGTTGCAGTCAGATTGGCCTCTCAGGGCGAACGTTAATATGTTGGTACTAGCTAGAAAAGTTGGTTATCAAGCCAACACAGAAGTGCCTTAAACCTGCATTTAAAAAAAAATGTCCTTAATGTCATTATCATCTGTGCATTTTCAGAGAAACATGAAAATATACAAAAAACAAGTTTTTCTGTAGCAAACGGGGGTTTATCACATCCAATATGACGAACAAATTGCAAGGAACATATGTATGATGTCACGAGAAACCTTGAAAGATGACTTGAACTCTGTTTATAGTTTACTCTCAATTGCTTGTTTTGGATCACACCCTATGAAAGCTGGGATAAACTCCAGCGCCCCCCTCCCCGGAGAATCTGATAAGGATAATTGGAAGACGATGGATGGATCTTCTTCCATGTTTGAATGATGAAAATTATTTAAGCCTGTGAAGTCCGACTGCCTGGTAAGGTTACATTTTGGGGAGATCCTTTGGTCAGACTTAATCCACTCAGTCCTATATGCATGTGTATAGTCCTCTCTATTGCCCTCTGTCTGTGCTACTTTTGCTAGTTTGCTGCAGCATACCTTTGCATTCCCTCTCTTTATACACTTGACAGAAACACTGAAATCGCTTTATAAGCAACATAATTAAAACAAACAGCATGGTAGACATACAGACTATGACTGACATGGCCCTTGTTGGTTAGATTTGAACTGTGTTGTTGTTCATACTCACTCATCTGTTTGTGCTCTGTGTAAAGCACTTACTCCCCTAGAAATAACCTGACAGGTGACTTAATCTGAGATTAAAACAACGATTCTATTCATAGACTCGATTTGCTTCTCAGGGGAAAATGATTTCCACAGATCTTTCTCCTTTCTGGTGAATCAAAGCTGTACATATTTGATAAATATCATCCAAGCAGAGACAGATGAAAGGGATTTCAGTGACATATGAGGATAAAAAATAGATTTTAGCTTGCAGACATCAATCTTTCAGTATATCAAGGTAACCTTCAGAGCAGAATGTGTAGAGAGGTGCATGAATTGTCTAGGTGTGGTTGATGATTCCCTCTCCTCTTGTTCTTCTCTTTTGTTTCCGGTGGCTCTGCTATCTCTGCTCCCCTTTCTCCTGTTTATTCGTCGCTTTAGACACGAGCAGCCCTGCTTTGTCTTTCTCGAAGAAGTGTGTCACTGAGCCAAGTGAGGAAAGGACAAATAGCTTTACATGACTGTCTGCTGATTATTACTCACTGTTTTGTAATGACAGTACAATATAATGAGTATAGTGGCTGACACTTTCCCCTAACAATCAGAAAATCCCTGGTTTGATCCCAGGAGGAGACACAAATGCGTTTGAAGCTGTGCCAGAAAGGGCATCCAGTGGTGACCTCTTGTGACTATAGGAGAAGCTAAAAGTAGCTTTGGTTGAGGTGACTTTAAAGTTTTTCGTCTAAAGGTTCCCCATCAATCCTCCTCA